CACACAGCAAGCACAGATATAATTTGAAACATAATAATTCATATAAATATAAATTCATTCGTAATTATTATAATTATTAAAATATTATTCATTCGTAGTCACTTCAAAATTATGATCACATATTCCACAACGAATATTTATATGATTCCAATTCATTCATTTGAGACCAAGACATTGACATTTTGCTTGAGAACTGTTTCATTGCGAGCAAAGCGAATTATAGAAAGTTAGGAAAAGGTAATGTCATATTCATCGATTTATTTTTAGAGACACTTGAAGTAATTCAGCAGATACGGCATCATTCAAACGGGAGCTTGAAAGTCATCACTACGCGGGCTGCCATCTGTTCTCTTTTTGGAGGACTTGTCCTCTTTTTTTAACATTGTGATCCTGTTCTCTCTCCTTTTTTAAATTAACATTAAATGTCCTTTTTGTCCAGTTGAATTGAAAATAATACTGGGATAAATTTAAAGTAATTTAATTAATTAAAGGAACTTCATATCTTGAATATCTACATTTTTACTCAAACACATGGTCAGCTTAACAGATCATTAGGCTTATTGTGATATAAAACTTATTTATGCTTATTGCTTGGTGGATAAAGAAGGTGATGTAACCAACCGGAAGCTTTCATTTCTAATGATGCAAAGTCTAATATGCTTTTTGAAAACTATTAATGGTTTGGTATTGTTGATACATTTATTATACATCGTGAAGTATAAACATGAAAAAAATCCTCATTTTTTAAGTAAAATCGCCTTCTTTGGGAAAACCTTTGCTGGTAACCCTGCACTACAGTGATGTCACGGGGGTGAAATTCGAGCTCCCGTTTGGATGACACCAAAGAAGCTGCTTAAAAGACAACCACCATTATAGACTATTTACTGAAGTGAATCAACTATTTTGAGACATTTTCGTGCACCGTGTGTGTGGAAAGCAGCTGCGCAGCGCTTTCGAAACGCAACATGCGAAGGGCGTCTCCCGACGTTGCGTTGTTGATATATTGATTATACATGGTGAAGTATAAAAATGAAATTTTGCCTTCCTTTTAAGTAAAATCGCCTTCTTTGGGAAAACTTTTGCTGGTAACCCTGCACTACAGTGATGTCACGTGGGTGAAATTCGAGCTCCCGTTTGGATTATAATGAAGGGACTGTTTAAAAGACAACCATCATTATAGACTATTTACTGAAGTGAAACAACTATTTTGAGAAATTTTCGTGCACCGTGTGTTTGAAAGCAGCTGCGCAGCGCTTTCGAAACGCAACATGCGAGGGGCGTCTCCCGACGTTGCGTTGTCGGCCAGTGGCACCACGGAATGCGATACGGCGTAAACAATGGCCGCGGCCCACCGCCCGCCCCGCCCTTGCCTGTCCGCAGACACGTCTCCAATTACTTCGGCTGCCATTGTGTTATGCATTCACGTGAAAGCAAATTGGGAACCGCTTCCAAGGCTGTTCTTTCGTAACAACTCTTAACTACTGTTAAGAAACTAAGCTGTTGTCGAGACTATGAATACTTATGAAACGTTGAATTGTGCTAGGTCACCCAAAACGTGAGATTTATGTCTGAAATTTTGGCAATCGCAGTTATAAATAAATTGTGTTATTTTTCTCTATATTTTTGTAGTATATGTTATTTTTCTTTCTCTCTGTTGCCCGGGCGTTAGATATATGTTCACTGCCCACCCTCAAATTGGGCTGGATTGTTGGACATTTTCAAGTTTGACACAACTTCGGCACCCAATGTTACCGACTGCTTTTGGACTCCCATGTTAGTCGCCGAGATACCAACGCAGTTTATATCTAAATTACACTTTTCTAGGCAGCCTCGAGTAAAAGCAATTATTGAAAGGTATGCATAGCGTGCTCAAAGTTCATTTATTAGCACTTGAGTTAAAGGTGAGATAATTTTCAAGAGTTTAAAGACGAGACTCTAACAAAGAAAACAAAATACTATCGTCTCACCACATGAGCTACTGCTGACCTTAATGTCAATACGAGTAAGTAACTTTAATTCAAGAATTAAAATAAAATGAAAGTCAGTAAAATCTAAAAAATAGTGTGACACGTAGTAAAAAATATTTTATTTTGCTCGTAAATTAGCGCAACTCCGCCGATCCGCTTTGTGATCTTTTCAACTCACGCAATAAATTATCAACTTTTCCACTGGATTATATGTTCATTATCATTGTTCATATGTTGTATTCCTTGACCAAAGTTGTATAGGATATGATAAGTCCAGAAATGTTTGGAGGTTTTAATTTTGCCGGATATTAAGCAGGGTTTTTTTACATCCCACAACCTTGATTATCCCTCTGATTATCTGCTTCTGCCTGCAAACATGGGGTTGAGGTAGCATGTCCCCCACACCACAGATACCGACTACTATGGTGCTAGCAGACCTTCTTCTGTACGATTACATCAAATTCAGCTCTCAACGTCTCTTGCATTTCCCGAAAACTTGCAAGTTGTGCATGATGCCATCTTCCCGTTTTCATTCTAGCTGTGCATTTCAAATTTCGTACCTTCTTTTTATTAAATGAAAGCTGTTATCTCTCCAATATATAGTGAAATCCATTCTTAATTTTTTCCCTTTTTTATCGTACCTCTTTTGTTTAAAACATTTTACAGGGAGACGAATATTAGGGACATTAAAATCGTTCTCTTTACAGCTTTAACATATATGATATTATATTATTCAAAGCTGTGATGCCATTTTATCAAATGTTCTTTTTTCACTCAACATTCATGAGTAAGTGGAGCAAAATAATAGATGCCCCGTTTAATATTATTGCTTCTAATTATCATTATAAATCTACTATTCAATGAGAATTGTCTAATCATCATATTCTGAGTTATGTTGTGACTAACTGAAAAAATATGTGCTCAGCGTTTGTCGTCGAAGTCCACTGTATCTGGGTTTACAGTTGGACGGAGGGACAGTAAGGTTGGAGGAGTACGAGTAGTCTGAGCAATATTTTCAAGGCTGTCGTTTGGGCCCATCATTCCAATGCAACAGTGCCTGACAGCTCTAGGTATCGTGATGTCATTAACGTACAAGTTTCTCCCTTCTTATCGTCAGTGTTAACAGCTAGAAACTGGCTCTTTCAACAAGTCAATGCGCCAAACAACACTATCATAATTGTGAAGGACTGATTTGAGAAATATGGCAGTCTGGATGTCTTGGCCTCCAAATAGCCGCGGTATGAACTCAATCGAAGCTTTCCGTTCCACGTAGAGACGTGGATACTTGACATGTTCCCATCGTCCTTAAGTGTGCTCATACTTGAGGACTTGCTGTCACCGTTTTGGCATCAGGTACTCCAAAGTACCATTTGCTACTTGAATCGATGGTTCGGCTAGTGTCCGCAAATCTACGCGCTGAAGGTGACTCTGTACGTTTTTAGATAGGTGCTCATAATTCATCAGTGTACTTGTGAATTTGAAAATTTCATTTAGATAAAGTTAAGCATGTTATTAATCAGAGCAGCTAACCGTTATAATACTCCTCTAGACAGCTGTTTCATCCGAACAAGATAGTATGGAAAAGCCACCACCGTCGGTATTAGAACCCTAGGACCCTGCAGGTACAGTAGCTGCAGTGTCACGACAATGCTGGCTGTAAACTAAACTAAACTAAGCTGGTGCTACACACTTTAATTCGAATGCCTCACGATTTACGTGTCCTTGTCCCTTGATTTATTCGATAGAACTGAAACGTTGAATCTTCTTTTTGTATCCATTGAATTCCTTGGAGTAATCATTCTGTTAAGGAAAATAACAGTTCAATTAATATCTATAAAACGTTTGTCAATGAATTAATCTCACGTTATCATATTTCTTTATCTCAACAAATGTTGAAGTTGAGTGTTAATTTTACGAAGTATATAATTCTTACTGTTTACTTTTAAAGGAAAGAAAGACAGGTTTTAAGCCAGGTTTTTTTTCCCTGAAATTTGTTGAATATTATATTTATATATTTTGTTTCTTGTCTCGTGAATATTCTAAGCTGTGAATGTTCTAAGATGTTAGAAGTAGAAGTGGGTTTTGAGAACGCTTATGCTACTCCATAATTGAAATATTCTTAATGTTTCTCCCCCTTTTCAGTCTTCTTTCACATCTTGCCCTACCGCACATTTCTGAACTCTTAGTAAAGAAGAAGAAGAAGAACCCTATCTGGATATACTCGTTGCCTGTGATTTATATGTATACTTCAAAAATTGTTATTGCACTGTTCCTATTAAATGTATTAAAATAGTCGTTTATGCAATTAGTTTATAATTTTAAGTTTTATTGCATGAGTACATCTTGATTTGTGAACTAGAGTCGTTAGGAGCAAGTTTTTAAATTTGCACTAACGCAATAAAGCAACATTTTAAATGAGTTGCCTACGCAATTTTTGTATAACAGTATTATAAATTTATAACAGAATTAAACTTAATTTTGAGAAAAAACTTTCTTGTGACGTCGCGGGTATTTGACACCTGTGCGAGATAACGGTGGACAGCTGTTCGTTTACATTTACCTCCCCCGATTCTCTCGCCGCCATTTTGCTGAACGTGTGATGACGCAATCATTCGTGCCGTAAAATCGAATACTTCATCATTTGTGTCCTAAATTGCCCGATTATGAAAGATTTCTTGCAGAAGAAAAGGACGTTTATAATGTTGGAATACAAAAAAAATGTATTTATGGACTTCATTTCTTTCAATGGCACAATTTTTGAGGAAGAAGAAAACAAAGGAAAAGTGGGGGAACGAAATCGCCTGATGTACACGTAAGCTTCCGAGGCTCAAGTTCACGACTTCGTGGCTGTCCAACTTTGATTCAATCAGTTAAATGTGTACCATTAAAATAATACTGTAATGTGTCATGGATATCCACGCAAATCCCAACAAATGACAGAACGTTTCCGGCAGTATTACAGCCGCGTCGTGGGCTGAGAGGCCGTATGAGGCGCGAGGACAATGCGGCGTGTGTGTGTGTGTGTGCGCGCAGGTGCGCTGCCCTGGTGCGAGTCGTGGCAGCAGCCGCAGCACGTGCTCTTCCAGCTGGCCAACGCCTGCTTCGTCATCTCGTACGCGGCGCCCTCCTCGGCCTACGGCGTGCTCTTCATGCACTCCGCCCTCATCTTCGGTGAGTAGACGTTAATTGCTCATTCAAATCGAATTAAACGTAGAATCGATTTATTTATAATTCGTTTTAAAAATAATTTTAACTTTACAAAATTGAATTCAGTAAAAAAAAATACTTCAATTATTTCATCTTCGTATTCAATAAGAAGTTCTTTGTTTGTTGTTTTTCCTCTGCTGGTGGTAACAAGTGAAATATATTTTTGGAAACATATTTTTCAAAAATGTGGCAAACAAGCCTTTAGAGAAACTTTTTTTTCTCCTATTGTCCAAGTCCCATTAATTTGACTTCAGTACATTTTATTATAATAAACTTTGGTGAGTAAATGCCTACTCTGGGGATTACAATCAATTTCTGAATTGGTTTCAGGATACCTCAAATCGAATCTGTAAAATCGTTTTATTTTAATTCGTTTTTCAAGTAATTTTAACATAACAGAATTGAAATGAATATTTTAAATTTAATTTCATTACACTTCAATTACTTCTTTTTCGCATTCAATTATTGGCTTTAAGTAAAATTTTCGTTGTATTAGCCTGTTTTGTATTAATGGTTTTAAATTTTATAATTGCATTGTATTTTCATTTTAAATAAAGGGAGTTCGAGCTGAAACGAATACATGAAATAACTCATCTTGGAAATGTGAACATTGACAATGTGAAATTAGTAATTGCCTTTGTACATCTAAAGTTCGTGCTGATATCGCTAAAACATTTTTCAGTAACTATTTTCGTTCCCAGTAATTAAGTCACTCAATAAATTGGATAAAAATATCTCAATTCGTGACATTTGTATCTTCACACATGTCATATTTTGTACGTATGAAAGTGTATATGCGTATGAGAGGAAGAGATATTTGATACTATAATTGTGTCTTGACAGACAATCGGGATTAGAACTTGCGAAAATAATTTTATGAAGAGGAATATCTGCGGTTTTAATCTCATTTATTATGTACATCACGTGAACTCGTAATGCAAGTAAATACAAAATGTTTGTTTGTACCTAATACACACATTTTATTAAATTATTTTCGTACATGTCAGACAGATCCCCATTTTCTTGCAAAGAGGGACGCTCATTTACTGGGAATACTGCCTTATTCTTATTAACGAAAGTTTATTTCTTTACAATATTCCGTATTCCAAGGTAGCTGTATCGATTTTCTTAATTCCTTGTTTAATGACATGGTTTTGAAAGGTACTATGAATTTGGTTAATTAATTCTTGTTAAAGAGACATTCTGTCAATGTATTTAAAATTTGTCAATCAAGTATTCCAATCACTAAAAGCAACTACACTTAAATCTCTTAATTGGGACATTATTGTCGGCTAACAAAACATACATACAAGTTGAAAAATTTTAACAATTTTTAATACTTGCTCAGCAATACCTCTGTGGGTGAAGGCTTAAAAATACGAAACCGCCAGAAAAAGTATCGAGACTTGTCTAAACTAATAAATCCCACATCAGTATTAACGTTAACTACGGAAACCAGATAGATCGTTCTACAAATGCAACGGAATTTGTACTAAAGATATAATCCATTTAACGCGAGCTTGACACACAAAACGCAAGATCGTGGTTAAATGGCGAGCGTCTCTGCATTTTCCTCCGGAGTGCCTCTTCCTCCTCCTTCTCCATTGATCGCCCTCTAATCCGGCTTACTTTGTATCTGCCTCGAATCTAAAAATAGCGCGGACTTGAATAGGCTAATCCGTGCTGCGTGGGCGTTGGGCTGAGCGCGGATCCCCTTGGGTGCTTTCGAGCGAGCCCCGGCTAGCGATGCGACATTGCCAACAAAAAAACCGAAGTTTGTAAACATCAAAGCTCAAAATTAAACATTGATATTAATAAAACGTCCACTTCTAACCATCGACGGTATTAAATATCGATGGTTTTAAATTTGGCTTAATAATCATTAAAGTTCACGCGGGGGAAGGGGAAGGTAATTTGAAAGTTGTCTCATTTATTAATATTTTTATTTGAAATTTAACTGGCAAAACAAAGTAAAAAATCATTGGGACAACTAACTCAATATGGATTATTTTATTCAGTAATTCAACAATAGATATAGAGGTATGCTTCTTCTTTATTGACAAAAATTCAACTTTGTTTATTTTGCACCCTTGTTCACTTTCATGACAAGAATATTCAATTTCTGAATATCGTAAAATTAGTATACAATTTTATTATATATATTTACTGCAGTCAAGTTTATGAAGCTTGGTCAGGAGGGGAAAATGTTCACTCCTATGTTGTTTGACAACTATGCGAAAATCAATAGGGTTTGCAACGACCAGAAAAGATAAAACAAAGAACTGGAGCTACATGCTCTTGAAGCGGGGGATGTGCGAAACATAAGAACACACACATACTGGTGTATGTCTACTCTTATACCATGTTTCTCATCTCATATTCCATGAGGTGCCCCAGCTTCAAGAACATTTAGCTCCAGTTCTTGTTGGTTCGTCTATTCTGGTGGTTACCCTGATACTGGAAACATATTTTCCGAAAACGAGGCAAACAATCATGTAGTGAACATTGTTTTTTCCTACTGTACAAGTCCCATTAACATGACTTGGGTAAATTTTATTATAATTAACTTTTTTCATATTAAACCATCGATCTCTTAAAAATATCCAACACAACATATTGATGTTAAAAAAATTCACAACAAAAATCAGTGTTACTTACATGGATGATTTTATAAAAACATCGATGTTTTCAAAACTTCGACATCGATATCCATCGCATCCTTAGCCATCACTCAGGGAAGTGTGCTTTCTACATTGCTCTTAAAAATATTCAATTTGTGGATATCTGAAAATTCTAATATTATTTTGTTTTGGTCTTTTTCATTTAAAAAAATATCGACCCCCCTGAAAACATCGAACAGAAAACATCGATTATAAAAGACATATACTTCAAAATATCATGTTAAAAAATCGATGATTTTATAAAACGTCACCGCTATTGTATACGAGGGTTAAAAACATCAATGTTTTGAATACATCAATGTTTTGAATACATCGATGTTTTGAATACATCGATGGTTTGAATACATCGATGGTTTGAATACATCGATGGTTTGAATACATCGATGGGGAGGGAGAGGATGGGCGGGCGAGCGGGCGAGCGGGCGGGAGATGGCGTTGGAGGCTGGGCGGGCAGGCAAGTTGAGCGGGGTGGGCGGGCGCTGGCGGAGGGTAAGCTGGGTGGGTGGGGCGGGCACGCGAGTGCCCGCGGAGTGCAAGCCGGTAAGCTATGTGGGCGAGGGGCAGGGGGCGGGGGCGGGAGGATGAGTAGAGCGGCGGACGAACGCGGGCAGGTGGCGGGGCGGGGTGGACTAGCGGGCGGGGTGCACTAGCGGTCGGGCGGAGACTAAGCGGGTGGGCGTGGCGGGCCGCCGGGTTGGCGGGTGGGGCAGCGGGCGGGCGGAGCTTCTGCGGGCGAGGGCGCGGGTCCCCGGCGTGATTCGTGGCTTCCGCCGCGGCGCCGGGGCGCAGCCTTCTGTATGTCCTGCGGCGAAGGCGCAGAAAACAAAACCTCGCCCCCCCTCCCACACCACCGATGGCGCCGGTGACGGATTTTCCTCCCAATTTCGCCCGTTATCTCTCTAATTTACATTCACGACCGCGACTCTAATATCCTTTCCATTGTTCCCTTCTCCTCGCGCTTTCGCCGTTTCGCGGCGCTCTTACGACCCGCGCGACTTGCAGCGCGTTTTACGTTCTGGGGGTGACGTTGACGAGAGACGGGCACCGTTAACATGCAGCCGGCTGACATTTAAGCACGTCGCTACATTTCATTACAGGCGCATGCTATATAATAGCTGATTTCCATGAAATACGGACGACTTGAAAAGTGTCTATCAATTTCATAGAAATGAAAAATAAATTTTCATTACATTTTCTTAATCTGGTAGATGAGCAGGCGTTTGTTACAGTCCCCTCATACGTACAGTAAATTCAAATTATCTTTACCTACTAAGAAGTTTGGACATCATACCTTTGGAGTTTTGAATTTTCATATTGATATCATGGACGATTTGACATCTATAACATTTGACCGTGATATATCTTTTAGCACTTACACTTTCAGCCACGCTGTGCATGCCCTAAAATATTACCACTTGGACAGGTGACTATAAAAATAATTATTTACAAAAGAACTACTTAAAATTTCTTATTACAATAACAAGATAGGAGTATTCTTAAACGAGACCTACAGGCCCAGTTAGGTAAACCAATAAATTATTGCAACATAAAATGTTAAGAAGGTTAAACGAACATCGTATTTGTATACACTTTGCAAAAATTTCCATTATAATTTTTCTATAAAATTGACTTTTAATAAACTTTCAACGGTAAAAAGAGACCTGTTAATATTAGGTATAGGATGGCCAACATTATTATGCTCTGATTTCACGTAATTTTGTAATTTATTGTATTTTTTAATAGTGCCATTGACCATAGATCATTTATGTTACAATAGTTCTTATTAAAACTGAGCACTGTTTCGTAAAATTTGACTTTTATCACCAAAACCAAAGCGGATTATTTAAATAACCATAAACATTAAAATGACAACAACGAAGCAAAGGCAAAAGCTACAATAATTCTCCGTTACATCTTCCTACGGCTTAGAATCGTTTCACCCATCTCTATCCGATGCAACTTTAATCCTCTCCTAAACTGGCAGAGGGGTTTAAGTCGCGGAGAAAATAGCTTCGCCGCCCTGGAAAGATTTGCAGTGGTCAGGAAGGGGTTGGCTCGAGGCCCGAGTGGGCATAGGTGTAGCCCGGGCGGGGTCGCAGCGGGCGGCCGTGAATAGGACAGGCTAACAGTGGCCAGGTGTAGGTGTGGGTGGGGGAGAGAGGGGGAATGAATGTTGATGACGTGGCGCGGGCCCAAGGCGAGCTGCACGGCGCCTCCGCGTAGGCGGCGCTGCGTCGGCCGCACGCGACGCCAAAGCAACGCGACTCCTCACGATACGGATGC